CAGATCCAGTGTTAAATTAGATCTTCTTTACACCTTTCTAGTTGTCGTTGGTGTCACTGTTATTACCCTGAAAATGATCGTTTCACCGATACCAAGGATCGATCGATCACGTTCCATTACAAGTCCGATCGCGATCAGGTCGAAGGACGTAATTGCCAAAACGCTGTCACGGGAAACAGTCGATCAAACGACGTGTATGGAATCCTCGTGCTCGGTCTCAGGAAGCTGCCAATCACCCTAATAATTCCATCAACGTCGCGGCGGATCAAGCGTCCATGGATCTGCAGCCGCGACGGGCCACGCTCGCCTAATTGCAGAGCAGACGAGGCAACGAAACAATCGAATCCATTCATCTGTTCGTCACACGACGTGGAATTACACCGCGAGAGAGGGTTCGATCGCGAGAAAGCCGAGGCCGGAGGAGAGAACGAGATAGAGGTCGATTATTACGATCGAATAGCCTCGCGAAAGGGTAAATTCCATGCGGCAGGGCCCGCGATCATCTCGCGACGCGAGTCATCGATTCGCCTGGCAACCTGCCTGCGGAACGGTCGAAAGATTCGAGAGCGTTTGGCATTTACGTGCCGGCTCGCGTCGCGATTCCACAGACGGACGAGGATGGTGCAATAGGCGCGTGCACAGACTTCCTACCAGGCGTTCGTCACCAGCCCCAAAATGCCACGCGGGCCCTTCCCCGCTTTGACATTTTCAGCCGGGAACCCTGCGCTTCGAGAACACTACGGATCTCACGATCGTTGGAGACATACACGCGAAGGACGCTTTGGATCTGACGATTGTTGAAGGAATAAAGGTGGAGGAGACTCCAGATCTGACGATTGTTGGCAGAACATGGGTGGAGGAGACTCTAGATCTGACGATTGTTAGAGAAATAGGGGTGAACACTCTGGATCTGATGATTTTTGGAGAGACAGACGTAAAAGACACTGTGAATCTGACTGTTGTTGGGGGTACAGAGGTGGAGGAGACTCCAGATCTGACGATTATTGGCAGAACATGGGTGGATAAGACTCTAGATCTGACGATTGTTGGCAGGACTTAGGTGCAGGAGACTCCAGATCTGACGATTGTTGGAGGAATAGGGGTGAACACCCTGGATCTAACGATTTTTGGAGAGATAGACGTGGAAGATACTCTGAATCTTATTATTTGTGACAGAACATAGGTAGAGGATACTCCAGATGTGACGATTGTTGGAGGAATAGAGATGAACACTCTGGATCTGACGATTTTTGGGGGAACAGAGGTGGAAGATATCCCAGATCTGACGATTGTTGGAGGAATAGGCATGAATACTCTGGATCTGTCAATTTTATGGAGAGATAGGCTTGAAGAGCATTCCAAATCCAACTATCATTTGAGAAATAGATGTGCACACGCTGAATGTAATGATTTCTGGAGAAATGGACGTGGAGAACGACCTGGATCTGACAAATATTGGAGTATCACAAGTGAAGAATACTCTGGATCTAATGCCTGTAGAAATAGAGATGAACATTGTGGATCTAACGATATGCCGAATAGAGGTGGACGATGCTGATGGATCTGTGAATCATAAGTAGCCAGACGTCGATTTAGGATTAGTGAAAAGACTACTAGAGTTGTTAGTTTAGTTTCGACTTGGAAGATTGAACAAATGAGTAGTCACTTGCAAAAATTAGGATGTTCTTGAGTCTAGTCTCAATATTTCTCATTTGATGTAACATAGTAACGATTAAAATGTCTTATTAAATAGGTATGAATACTTTCGTGATTCGTTAGGGGCGAAGACTCTAACAACTTAGCCAATTAAAGAATGACTGTGTCTTTTTCATGAAAGGATCATTCCCCATTCTACATTAAGCTGAACATAGGTTTCCAAAGACATGTCAGGCCAGCTACTATTATTCCAAGCTCGAGTTCTAAATTTACACCAAATTACATAGAACAACGATGAGATTTATCGAATGTACCGGTTAGACCAAGTCTTCCTAGAAGCTTCCTAACCTCAACCTTCCTCCAATCAAACTATCTAAACTCCCCAAAAACATCAAGACACGTTACACTTTGTCGACATTCCCTTCTACGAACTCCAAGAATCATTTCCAACAATTCCAAGATGGAATCCAAAATAAAGACGCGGGTACCAAGATTCGCTCACCTGGACTCACTCCACGAGAACCATCTGACAGCCAGACATGTCTTCTGACACGCTGTTCGTCATTTCCCTCGCGAACTCAAGGATCAGAAGCTTCGAGCATCGTTATCTTCCACTTCTAACGATCCAACAGAACTATTCCTCTTAAACCCATTATCTTCAGAGCCCATTCACTACTCCCATACCCCAAATCTCGCCTCTTTATTCCAAGACCTGGTACCTTCGCTCGGGATTCGCCCAGAGGAATATTCCAAAGCTCTACCAAGTTCCGTGGCAAACGAGAGAGATAAGCGAAAGGGGTTTCGAGAAGCGTGTTTGCACATTGGTTCGAGCCTCGAGCAGGTAGATCATTAAGACGCCTGCTTGCCGAGGCGCCTAACGACTGCAGGATCGAATTAGGAAGACAAATGACCGCAACAGCTCCTGGAATCGCAGCCACGTTGCATCTACGGCTGAACGAGTGCAGTTGCATCCGAGCTCGTTTCACTTTCCACGTTGTGCGCGCTCGCGTTTCCGACGCAACGGAAAACTCGCATTTTCTCCGTTACGCAAAAACCTTCGTTGCGAAAAATCCGGCGAATCGTACTCGTCGCTATTCCTCCGCCATTGTTGAAAAATGGCGCCCGGAAAACTCGCGCGGACGTATTTACATCGACGAAGACCCGATCGACTCTGATTTTCCCTGGAACCTCGTTCTGCAACGATCGTTCCGAGCTCGTGAGCACGAGTATCGATGCAACGGCCGATTTTATCGCCCGGAATCGTCGAGCAGTTGCGGCAACTCGCGGCAGGAAATCGCGACCGTGAATTCGAACCGATCAAACGCCGATTCCGAGACTTTCGACTCGTGAAATATGGAAGAAAGTCCCGAGTTATAAATAATTTCTCGGCTTTTTAGACAGTTCCTCTGAGATACCGTTGCATCCACCAGTCATATGTACGTTTGATATGAACGGGACGAAACTTTTACGAGAGTTTCCCAGCTCTAACTTCCATTCTAACGATCTTTGTTCGGAGATATTTACGTACGTACACTTTGACGTGCACACGTTTAGTTTCTCTTTAATTCGAGCGCCATTTTAAAAGTAAATATCGAGTAAATATTTTCTAAATATGATATATCAAATATTATAAGAATATTATCAAATATTGGCAGACGATTGTTAAATAGCCAATTACAGAAAAAATTTTCAAATTAAGCATATAACGTTCACTAGTATACAATATTATATATCACCTACTGGCAAAAGATAGAAAACAAAATAATTTTATCGTCCAAACACAATGTCTAACCTTAATTTTAATTCTCTGCAAACGACTGTAGTCAAATATCTATGAAGAATAAATTTTCTTATACCAGGAAATAAATTTTCTCGGTGCAAAATAAAATGGTTTTCTGGTTTCTAATTTGTCGAAATGTATTAGATTTAATTTCCTAATTTTCCTTTAAATTGCATATGTACCACGACTTTCTCTAATAATAAAAAGAACAGGTTGGTCTCTTTTTAATGAACCACGAGAGCTACTATTTTCATAAGATAATGATAGATAGCAAAAGATAGGAAACAAAATAATTTTATCGTTCCAAGCACAATGTCCGTTTTTAATTTTAATTCTTTGCAAACGATTGTAGTCAAATATCTATGAAAAATAAATTTTCTCATACCAGGAAATAAATTTTCTCGATGCAAAATAAAATGGTCATTTTCTAATTTTTCGAAATATATTAAATTTAATTTTTTAATTTATCTTTAAATTACGAATGTACCTTACTTTCCTCTAGTAATAAAAAGAACAGGTTGGTCCCTTTTTAACGAACCACGAGAGCTACTATTTTGACGATGCAGACAGAAAGAAACCAGCGTCCGAAGTGCACCACCTATGACAACAAAAGCCACCACCCACGTATTACCTTCTTGGAGAAATAAAATCCCGAAAGGACCATCCTTCCTACAACCTTCCCCCCACGTCCCGTGTACCTACTCCCAATCCTCCAACACGTCGTGCAGTGCTCTCTGAAAAGCAAGGCGACACATCCCACGGGCGGAGTAGGCTCGTTGCGCCCATTGTCACCGAACGTATAGCCGGCGTGAGAAGTACAGTGGACTTGTACGCAACCTCGTTATTCAATAATCCTAACTAGTTCAAAAATCACCACTAAACCGTTGCAATCACCTAATCCAAGTCTCTATCTACCAATTTACAGCTACCAAATTCCATTTAACACGAATCTTCTAAGCCCAAGATCAAATGATTGCGAAAAGTCCACTGTACACCGTGATTCAAATGCAGAGAAAATGATAGTAATCGTCAGCCGTGCCACCATTTGTCCCGAGGTAGATTTTTGGGACCGACACGGACCCGAATATGCCTATTCGAGGGTTCCCAGTGTTCCTCGCGCGGACTATACACTCCTACGCCATTGGGTCCGGGAGCAGGAGCGAGGCAGCGCTCGTCGGATCGGCAGAGAGCAGCCACGGGCGAAGAACAGGAAAGGGGGGGCCCATCGTGGTGGTGGAAATATAAAGCCCGACGAGTGGCGGGCCTGAGTCAGTCCGTGAGCGATACCTACGCCTTCAAGGTCCGCGTCCTTGAAGCGAGACACGTCCTCGATCTACCCGAGAGCGCAGCCAAGGGTCCCAGGGCGCCCGCGAGCGCTGGTTCCTCGATTATCGTCCTTTTCCGGAAGTGCAACTTCGCGAGCTGATCCTCTGTTGGACAGATCGGATCCTCTTTTCGAGTGAGACGGGTACACGCGTGGATACAGCAGGCCCGTGACTCGAGACCACCACCGGGAACCTCGAGATTGGGAACCGGAAGAGCCGTTCCTTGCGTCAGCACGAGGATGAGGTCCTCGCTGGTGCTGCTGTTCCTGGCAGCCATCGTTCTCGCCGGTGAGTAAGGGATTCGATGGCTCTCGATGGCGATGGACAGATCGATGCGTCGACTACGAGGGGTCCGATGAGTTAGGGATGACGGGAAGGGGTTGGTGCTTCGTCGAAAGATCACGCCGATATCGTTGCCGAGGTACCAGGCGAGTGCCGGAGTAGGGTAGTCTGTTATGGAACATGGCAGCGAGTGGGAACATGGTGGCAGTCGTGATTCGAATTCGTGCGGGAATTTCCAATATGGAGTCGAATTTCGCCGTCTGCCGCGCGCGGTGGGAGTCGGTGCTCGGTCCCCTGGCTATCGTATAAAGGCACGTCGCTTTTCCAGCGGGAATATTTTCCTGAAAATCGTCTGGGGACTGCGTACGAGCGACACATAACGTCCGGACAGACCACGTTGCTCCGCGTCAGAGGCCTCCTAGCTGGTTAGCTCCCCGGAACGTTGCACCATAGACCTCACGGGCTACGCAGACGCGAACAATGGACTCGTTGCTCACCGAAACTGTTCTCCGATTACCTCGCTCCTTTGACCAACGTTAGAGTAGACAGTGCGAGGAAAAAGCTGGGCTGAATCACCGCGTGAAATTCGGAATTAAGGCTGCGAGAGCTCGAGCACGTGAGGCTAGAAATGGCTAGTGACGTAGGGAGCTATGGTTCTTTTAGAATATTTCCGTGGTTCGGATCGTGGAGGTGGCACGGTGACAATGGACGACGAGTTTTCGGGAGAGGATGGTTCGGAGGACGGGAGAAAATTATCGGATGGAATATCGGATTCTGACGGTCGACAGGGACGACAGGTTGCATAAGAGATTAGAGCGTGAAAGCCTCTGGTTCGGGCCGGTCCCGGATGGGTGACGTCACTGCCGTGCCCTGGAAAATAAGCGGGGTGGGGGGCGCAACTTTCCCCGTTTGTCGCGGCGCTGCGCGCGGCCGACGCCAGCCCGCGGGTCCAATGGGACTCAGAGGCCTGTCCGGATCGATCTCGACCATTGATATTCCGTTTCAGCCCGTTCTTCTGGTTCGCCTTCGCTTTTGAACTCGCCTGTATGGTATTTCGCTCTCCAGCCTCGCGTTGTCTCGTGCAAAATTGCTCAAACGGCTGATCAGTGTCTATCTCCATTTTTGAATGGGCCTGTAGAATGGTCGGTTCTTCTATACAATTTTCTCGCAATTTCGGATAGCAACTATCGTCGTGTTTAATTTTAAATCGCTACTCAATGTCTCTGTTTTTAGTCTTGGAAGTTCCTGGAGACTATTCGGGCCTTGGGCAGTGTAGTTGGGGCCCAAGGCCCACGTAGAAATCTATATCGTCATCGTAGAACCGTGTTAAAATTAGTTTCTCCGTTCTTAAAATTCCCGTAGATCGAGTAACAGTGAACACTCGAATTTGAATGACTCAGTGGGGTGTATAGTTAGTTCTGGAAGGGCCTGTAGCGTGTTTGCAAAATCTCGTAGAGTTTATTCGTGCCGCTATATTTGACCGTGAATCGAGTCTTTTTCTGTCGACCGTTGGTTTTGAAAGCACCTGTAAGATGCTCGCTTTCGATCCGAATGAACCAGTGGCTTACATTCTCGATGCATGCTGCGAACCGGTTGCTCGCTCCACTCTCGGTCCCATTTGAATGTCCACGTAACAACCGTTTGCCACCAACTTTGAAACGGACCTCGAGGAACGATTTATCCGCGAAGCGAGTCGGGCAAGCGTTAACGCGTGATGGAAAGTCTACGAAACCAAGGAAGAGATCGTTATCGATCGGTCGACCTTCGAATTTGAGTCGACCTGTAGACTCGACGGCTCTCAAGGAGATCCGGTGATTAGACGTCTCCGCGACCCGTTGGCTTCTCACTTTCTTCGTCTTCTCGAGCTGACATACCGCTTTTTAAAATTCCACCGCAATTTCACTTTCCTACGTCTCGCTTCGAACCAAACCGATCTTCGGATAGGTATTTCTCCGATTCTCTCCCCCGAACTCCTCTTCCTCCGAATTCTTCCCGATCCTCGCGTGACTCCGACGCGCTTCCTGCTCGGCAGAACCGATCGAATCGCCTTTCAGCGCCGATCCTCTTCGGCAGGATTCGACTTTCTCTCGAAAAGGTAGCGATCGTTGGCGCAACAGGTCGAACCAGCGACGTCTCTTCTCTAACGATCCACGGGGAAGCAAACGCGAGCTGGCGCTGCGAGTCCAGGATCGCAGGACATTGTCGTTGGAAAGGCGTGAAACAGCTTTCTCCGTTCGCCGCGTCGATGTAAAATTAACCAGAGGCCGAAACTGCAAATAGAGGAAAGCAACACGTGTTTCCCGGCGCGTTAAAAATGAGCCGTTCGTGCTTCCACTTTCTCGAGCAGAGCGTTTCCGCCTGTCCGACCGTGAGCCAGCTCGAAAACGAAAACAATGCCACGTGTCGCGAATTTCCGAAGCTGCTTCGAGCGGAATGCTGATCAACGAGAACGGGGAACAGCGTTTCGGTTGCGTAAGCGAGACAAATATTGGAAAATCGACTGGATCGAGAATCGAATGTTCCCACCTGTTAGGTAAACTATTACGCTACCGATTTTCGCTTCCTCCTCGGCTCCCACGTAACAAATTACTTCGTTAATTAATAATAATTCCATTCACCGTTTCTACATTTCAAACATCCAATTCACCGACGAAAAAGTAATTCCATTCGAAGTTTAATTTAACAAAAGAACGTAATCGAATAATATATCGAAATAACAAATTTTAATTAAATTATTTTAAAAATCGATCATTGGCATCTTCGCAATTACTCCATCCCCTTTATCTACATTTGAAAAAATAATTAAACGAAAAAATTAATTTTATTGAATTAAATATATGAATGATTTCAACGTGGATAAAGTATTACTAGGAAAAGAAAGAATTGTCAAGTATACTAGTAATAATTCGACACCACTGGTTGGCAAACCGGATACTTTTAGAAATCCCGAAGAATCGTGCGTGCATTTGGAAGCTTGCCCAATCGCTGGAAGCGCTATAGTCGAAGAGGAAAGGGAAGTTTCGGTTTTATGCAAATTACGCTCGTCTGCGATCCATCTGACAGAAGACGAGGATCTATCAGTCGGAGAATAAATAACCGTCAGCCCGTGCCTCGTGCCGGCGCTAATTTCGCACTTTCCATAATCTCGTGGCTGATATCCTTGCGGTTACGCAATCGCGCTGCCTCGAAATTTCACCGAAGAAATCCCACTTGCAAACTTGTCGTCGGCGAGTTTTATGTAAACAGCTTTGGAAATAAATAGAATCTCGCACGAAGCGCTCGCTCCGCGAGATCCACGAGACGATACCGACTAGATAGATCACCCGTCTACCAGTTAGGCACCACGTGTCTATACACGTCTCTTGCGAAACCTTGGCGCATCAACTCTGCTATCCCTTCGACTCCAGTGACCTACTAATGACTCCCTCGCTAGTAGAACGACTTCTAGATCTATCTGTAACAAGCTCCTCGAACAGGATACACGATCTCCGTCTCTCTCGAACCCCCCGATCGATATCCACCTCTAAACGCTGTCAAAACCGCATCGAGTCTGCTATCCCTTCGACTCGAGTGACCTATTAATAACTCCCTTGCTAGTAGAACGACTTCTAGATCTATCTGTAACAAGCTCCTCGAACAGGATACACGATCTCCGTCTCTCTCGAACCCCCCGATCGATATCCACCTCTAAACGCTGTCAAAACCGCATCGAGTCTGCTATCCCTTCGACTCAAGTGACCTATTAATAACTCCCTCGCTAGTAGAGCGACTTCTAGATCTATCTGTAACAAGCTCCTCGAACAGGATCTACGATCTCCGTCTCTCTCGAACCCCCCGATCGAGATCCACCCCTAAACGCTGTCAAAACTGCTGTCAAAACCGCTGTAATTCTAGAGGGATCGAACCGAGTGAAGCGACAGGAAGATAAGAAGGAAGAGAGCTTCGAGAGCGAGATCTGCAAGGACAAGGATGCAGGCGAGTGGTTCAGATTAGTGGCAGGAGAGGGTGACAACTGTCGCGACGTGATCCAGTGCACCAGCTCGGGCCTGCAGGCCATCAGGTGTCCCGCGGGGCTGTACTTCGACATCGACAAGCAGACCTGCGACTGGAAGGACTCGGTGAATAACTGCAAGCTGAAGAACAAGGAAAGGAAGGCCAAGCCGCTGCTCTACACCGAGGAGCCGCTCTGCCAAGATGGCTTCCTCGCTTGCGGCGACGGCTCTTGCATCGAGAGAGGCCTCTTCTGTAACGGGGAGAAGGATTGCGCCGATGGGTCTGACGAAAACATTTGCGGTGAGTCTGCCATGACGAAACTTCCTAATATAGAATCTCGTTCGACCAGCTTCGCGCTGAAATCACGGTATTGTACATTTTTCTCCCCACTTGGTCTCTCTCGCTCTATCGAATCTTTCAGGTGGAAATTGAATTATCGAGGTTCGATTCTAGTTCTGATTTAACATCCGATTAATATGCATTCCTTGGCACGTCAATCAAGGATTTTATTCATTTCTCGACCCCGTATATCGAATTTGCTAGCCAATTTTCACTCTGTAATCCTAAGAGATGTCAAGACTCGTTGATGTTCTCACTTCCTGATCGCGTTGTTGATTCCTAAACGACGATTGACGAGGAAAGAGGTGACGAAGGGTGGGTGGACGAAAAATTGCAGACATGGACAACGACCCGAACAGAGCGCCACCCTGCGACCCTGTCGTGTGCGTGCTCCCTGACTGCTTCTGCTCAGAGGACGGCACATTGATCCCGGGCGACCTGCCGGGCAAGGACGTGCCTCAGATGATCACGATCACGTTCGATGACGCCATCAACAACAATAACATCGGCCTGTACAAAGAGATCTTCAACGGGAAACGCAAGAACCCGAACAGTTGCGAGATCAAGGCCACCTTCTTCGTCTCCCACAAGTACACCAACTACTCGGCTGTCCAGGAAATGCACAGGAAAGGACACGAGATCGCCGTTCACTCTATCTCGTAAGAAAACACCGTTGAAAAAGATCCCATTTTTCCCACCGCTCCTCCCAGCGCGTTCCTCGGCCTTGCTCGAGTCGCTGAGCACGGAGGATCCGTGTCGGATCACGTGGAGTGTTATGTTAATCGCGGGATAAATCGCTCGTGTTTCAAGTCACAACGACGACGAACGCTTCTGGTCAGACGCCACGGTGGACGACTGGGCGAAGGAGATGGCCGGCATGAGGATCATCGCCGAGAAGTTCGCCAACTTGACAGACAACAGCGTGGTCGGCGTGAGAGCGCCCTACCTGAGAGTCGGCGGCAACAATCAGTTCACGATGATGGAGGAACAGGCGTTCCTCTACGACTCTACCATCACTGCGGCCTTGAACAACCCACCTCTGTGGCCTTACACGATGTACTTCAGAATGCCTCACCGTTGCCACGGGAACCTTCAGCACTGTCCCACGAGGTAACCTAATTTCGACGTAGAAAGACCGGCGTTTTTTATGAATCGATTTAATCGGATTAAGAACTTCTCGCTTCGACGGCCACGCTAATTTAATTCAATTACCGGTCGGTATCTCGAAATAATCGACCCAATTGCCGTCACGCTTTATTCCAAGAACGCTTACAGTCTAGCTGTTTGCTTGAGCCGTCGATTCGAGGTATTTGACAGAAAATAGGCACCGGGGAGCCACGTTGACAGCGGTGAATCGTGAAGGAGAGTTGGCAGAGAATTGGTCTGTACCTTGGGCTATCGAACGACGAATTTTCCTGTCCAGGTCTCACGCCGTCTGGGAGATGGTGATGAACGAGCTGGACCGGCGCGAGGACCCGCAGAACGACGAGTACCTGCCAGGCTGCGCCATGGTGGACTCGTGCAGCAACATCCTGACAGGGGACCAATTCTACAACTTCCTGAACCACAACTTCGACCGCCATTACGAGCAGAATCGCGCCCCACTGGGTCTCTACTTCCACGCTGCCTGGCTGAAGAACAACCCCGAGTTCCTTGACGCGTTCCTCTACTGGATCGACGAGATCCTGGCTAATCACAACGACGTCTACTTCGTGACGATGACCCAGGTGATCCAATGGATCCAGAACCCACGCACGATAACGGAGTCGAAGAGCTTCGAGCCCTGGAAGGAGAAGTGCGTGGTTGACGGACCTCCGGCTTGCTGGGTGCCTCACACCTGCAAGCTCACCTCGAAAGAGGTGCCTGGAGAGACCATTAACCTCCAGTCCTGCGTACGTTGCCCTAACAACTACCCATGGGTGAACGATCCAACCGGTGACGGGTTCTTCTAGGCCCAGAGTCGCGTTCCTCCTTCTCGTCTAAGTCAAACCCTATGATTCTCCTCTTGCCTTGTCGTCTTGGGCGTTCACCTTTCACCCTCTCTCCCCTCTCTCTGTCTATCTTCTTCCCTGCTCGTCCTGCAATTGGTCGATCAGCCTTCGCGAGTTTCACGGTGGACCCGGGGTCGTCGGTTTCGATCGGGAGCGTTGACAGCGGCTAGCTCCTTCGCGGTACAGGGTAGCCGATTCGACGGGAGAACGGAGCCCTTGGCAGCTTTTCGAATAGCTGAGAACTTGGACCAGGAGGAGAGAAGCCTGGAAAACACGATTGTCGACGAAAACGAGGATTCTGCTGATCGGTTCGCCGACGAACACCGTCCATCACGTCACCAACGATCTGTGATAAGTTTCGAGTAGCTCGAGGACGCGACGACGACGAGACAGCCACCTTCTTTTCTCTTCTCTTTCTCTCTCTCTCTCTCTCTCTCGCTATCTTTTCCTCTCTGTCTCTCTCTTTCCCCAGCCCACGACGATTTCTCCCTGGCCCCTGGAACCTGACCTGGAGAGAAACGACGCGATCGCAACGCGACGGAACGGAAGAAGCAAAAAGAAAATGGAAAACGGTAATGAAAGGTCCGGATTCTATCGTGTGTAATATAAACGCGTGTGCCAGCCTGTCCCTGAGAGAAACGAATCCCTGGCACCTCGACAGAGGACACGACGGATTTGGCTGGAAGGTCGGGCTGCGGAAAATCGACGATCCCTCAGCGACCGCCAAAACACTCCCCTGTCACAGAGGGCGGACACCCTTATTTTTCTAAGGGTCAGCCAAACCTTTTATATATATATATAAATAAATAAATATATATATATAAATATAAAATATCGTGTATGTATATTTTTAAAGCTAAGTGATACTATCAGTTTTACCGTTCTCGATGGAACCTTTAATAAAAGAGAAACCAGCGGAACGCCAGCGTGTCTCATTCACTCCCCATCCCTCATTCCGCTTCCAGGAAAGTGGAACAGGTTCGTTGTCAAGTTCGGAGACCTTCTTCCGACCCGTTTTTCCGACTACGTCTTACTCCAGATCCGTCTCTGGCGCGTCAAACGAGTTAGGCTACCCCGCTCCCTCTGTACCCTTTGGTCTCCCAGCTACTCTCAGATCGCTCTCCTTTCATCCTTCACTCGGGCCAAAGAGTCCTGTCGGTACCTTTCGACGTGTAACAAATTACGACTCACTGGAAGAAGTTCCCATCGACCATAGATCATCGCAACTATGTAAGGATTGACAGAAAGTAGCTCTCTCACGTCTCCTGTCATCTCTGTCTCCCTTCAAATCTGTCTTCCTGCGTTCGACGAGTCGCGAATCACTCGACGAAGGTCCTGTCACGATCAAAGGTCGCGATCGATTAAAAATTTCGAAGCATAAGGAACGTACTGGGCCAGTTCGGTCATTGGTACGCGACGGATGGATCGCGTCGGTCGAGGTGAAAATTGCCAGGCAGTTCGGGTCGGGCGAAATCGGGGTCATCCAGGGTGGTTAAGATCAAGGCCGGCCTGTCTCGGGCGAATTCGCCGGGTGAATTACGAAATCCTGCTGGCAGCTTTTCGTCACTGGAAATTGGAACGGCGCGTACGTGGCCCGCATCGCGGCGAGGTGACAGGTTTAAACGCTGTGGCCGAGAAAACGGCGACTGCATTCTTCTGGCTTGTAGGTCGGTCGCGAGAAAGGACCTTTCCATCCAGCTAGCGCCGCGAAATTCTCAGCTCGCGGCCTGACGCCCATAATGGCCGCTCAAGGTCCGCCACTTGGGACCGTTCGGCGGCTCCGGCTAAGTCTGTCGCCGTCCAAAGAACTTGGAATCGATCAAAAGTCCAAGAGACCAGTGGGTACCCTGTCTCCTGTCTCTCCAGGTACCCCACAGACCTTTGGAACCTGTTTCCTCGCGATATCCCTGATAATAAACGACCGAGGTCTCCTACTCGCTGTCAATTCGACCCGGAAATTTTGGATTCCTGAAAGAGACATGTCTCCTTGGGCGAACGAAATACAACCACAGAACGACCTTCCGGAAAACTTGGATTTACGACCATCTCTGTGGAATTCAAGTTTGCGTAAAGAGATTCGCAACGATCGCTTAGGTTGAGCGTAATTAACCCTAGCCAAGGCAAAGAGAGAAAACATAGCTGCCAATTCGCAGTAACGCGTCGATTCACGACGATCGCTTAGACTAAGCTTGCTTAACCCTAGCCAAGGCAAAGAGAGAAACCCTGCGTCTGCATCTTTCACGAAACTCAATCCGCAGAAGCGAAACGGCGGTTGATCGTGAGGCAGCAAGAAAGCTCGTTGAGCAACTGCGGAATTACGATGGCCGGCGATTAGTCGGACGAGTGATGAAGCGGTTCCGTTATTTTCCTGTGCAACAGAGAGGACAAGAGACACTTCGCGAGAGGGAAACTGCGGTAACCTCGCGAAATACCAAGCGGACGACGATCGCTGGCTCGAGGCGACGCTTGCATTCCGATGCAGCCTTTCTTTCGTCGCCGGTTCTGCATAGTCTTCATTCCGTGACGAGTCTGCAAGGTGTTGCTCGTTCAGAGATCGTGCTCTGATCAGAGAATGAGCCCTCGAGCGACGATTATCCCGCGGGTGGCGATAGGGATGACGACCCGGTGGCGCGAGACATGTCTGGGGTCTAGATCTGGGGTTGGAGCCTGCGGATGGGGAGACTGGGAATACGGTAGAGAGAATCGCGAGGCTGTAATAGGGTCGTAGTAGGATGGAGCAGAGATTATCGACGATTGCGAAGACGCTGTGCGTCTGTATGAGGGATTTCCTCGATTAATTCCAGGCGCATCGGGGGAATCGTTCGCACCCACGTACTGCGGGGGCAATCAGAGTGTCGCAATTAAATTCCGGTATCTCGGTCGCATAAATCTCCCAGAGAGTGTGCGTTTATTTCGCTCCGTCGTTAATCTCGCATCTGATAAATAATCTTTGGACGGGGTCCAGACTATCGGCTAGGGATTTCTGACGGGCTTAATAAATCAAGTTTTACAGGTATTCATCACCGCTTCGCTGGAAAACACTCTATGCAACGAGTGTCCCAAAATTCACGCGAGAAGTAATTTTGATGGAAAATGCAGGTTTTTAATTAAAAATTGTAAATATTGCTGAACAACGAAGATGCCTTGTTCTTTCGTGCAGCCTCCATTTTTAGGAAACCTAAACTGACTGCTGTTAGACTGTCATTTTTTCTTGGTTGGGAATACTTTATCGAGAAAATGGCACAAAATTCAAATCTTGCCTGAATTTTGGGACACAGTATATATATATATACATGTATATATTTTTACTGGGAGATTATTTAACAGGGTTTAAATATTTTGTAAATATTGTCGGAATTGTTGATAAATTAATATTGAGATAAATTGGTAATCGTGTCGTAATATTTTTATTTTTCTGTGTTATTCGACAGAGTCTAAATATTTTTCGAACATTGTATAACTTATATAAATTGATAATTGCTTTGCTGGAGGACATTTATTTCTATTTATAATATTTAGCATGGTGCAAATTGTATTTTACAAATTTTCGAGACTCTTAATGTATTATAATAAATTCGAATTGATAAATTTCTGATCGAGGATCCAAAGTCTACGCATTCTTTCCACCGTTTTTGTTGTTAATATACAACAGGTTCGAGACTGTTAATGAATATGTATTTATTACATAATATGTATTTCAAATTAGCTATGACGGTATCTCGGAGACCAAACAGAGACTAAAATCCTCGGTAAATATAAATTTATTCGAATTTAAAAACATTTTAATCGAAAATAAAGAATGTAAAAAGCTCTCACCGATCATGCACTATAGCCGAGAATAAAAAATCTGTAAATACTATTCCATCATCTACTGTCATTACATAACAGGCTTCAACCTCACCAAAATTTTTATTAATCATCGTGTACCAAAATTAATTTCAAATAATAATTTTTCCAATCAAAAATATACAAATTCACCCATAATTCTCATCGTTTATTCACTATCATAACTTGATCAAGGATAAAAGAATAATTATTATACCATCACCCACTATCATTATATAACACATTCCAAATTTACCAAAATTTCTATCAATCATCGTGAACCAAAATTATTTCAAACTAATAATGCTTCGAATTAAAAATATGCAAATTTACCCATAAAGCAAGAAAAAGCTTCTCATCATCTATTTACTATTATAAGTCGATCAAGGATAAAATAATAATTATTATACCATCACCTACTGTCATTATATAACAGATTCCATATTTACCAAAATTTCTATCAATCATCGTGTACCAAAATTAATTCAAAATAATAGTGCTTCCAATCAAAAATATACAGATTTACCCATAAAAAAGAATAAAAAGCTTCTTATCATTTGTTCACTATCATAACTGAATCAAGGATAAAAGAACAATTATTATACCATCACCTACTGTCATAACAGATTCCAAACTCACAAAAATTTCTCTTCACCGTCGCAAATCAAATATAATTCCACATAACGATCATTTCGATGGAAATAATCGAGCAAAAAATATTCCAAAATTCTATCTTATTATTATCATCGTGTACCAAAATTAATTCAAAATAATAATGCTTCCAATCAAAAATATGCAAATTCGCCCATAATTCTCATCGTTTATTCACTATCATAACTTGATCAAGGATAAAAGAATAATTATTATATCATCACCTACTGTCATTACATAACAGATTCCAAATTTACCAAAATTTCTATCAATCATCGCGTACCAAAATTATTTCAAAATAATAATGCCTCCAATCAAAAATATACAAATTCACTCATAAAATAAAAATAAAAATCTTCTCATCGTTTACTCACTATCATAAGTCGATAAAGGATAAAAGAATAATTATTATATCATCACCTACTGTCATTACATAACAGATTCCAAACTTACAAAAATTTCTCTACACCGTTGTAAATCAAATTTAATTCCAAATAACGATCATTTCACTAGAAATAATCGTCGCAAATCAAAAATTCCAATTCAAAGTCTATTCAAATCGTATCTCATTATTACTATCGTATCGTCTACGCTTTCGATCATAACTCGACGATACGTTGGACGTACGTTGGCGATGGATTCCACGATGGAGGACCTTCCAGCCGTTTCCTCTTCCATTGACTCCGGGACAGGCCTCCTCCGGTGGAATGCACGCGAGCCAAGGCGATAAACACCGTTAAGAATCGCCACGAGTTGGCCGGTAGCAGTCTGAAAATCTCGCGTAAGCGAAAGTAGAGAAAGCTGTGTATCCCGGTGCCGTGGCAAGGCCGTCCCTGGCTCGGGCTCCTTCCACAGGATGCCGGTCGGATCATGCAGGAATCTCGTTAGCATTCTTCCACGCCGTTTCTGAACACCGTGTACAATTGGAAACATAAATAGAAACGGTGTAGATAGAGATGTCTCGAAATTGTGCAAGAACGCGTGCGCGTAAAAACATCTTAAACATTGTCATTGGGGAGACGGAGGTTACGTGAGAATCGATGGAAAGTTGTTGACTTTACGAAAATGGGAATGCAGATAAGAAGAGTCGATCGAAAAATTTTGTTCTTCTCTTTCGATTCGTTTCTGGATACAGAATCACCCCCTTCCTGTTACTGGGACACCCTATATAGTTACTTGTACTTTTAGTTAGTTCTAGTTGAACTAAGTATGGAGCAGAGAGTTAGAATAGATGTAACTGTTCAAAATCGATTTTCTCGAAATCAACAAATTTTATT